GAGTGTGGAGGTTACAGACGGGACGTATCTGCTGCGTATGTAAAGAGTTACAGTGAACTGCAGCAAATGAAAGCTTGAATAACGTCCTATAACTATGGAGGCTGGTGTGGCTCACATCACTTTCACACAGGAGACTGGATTTCACCTTCTATCACCAACCTGCATTAAACTTCACTTTTTTATGAACTGTATCCACAGTGTTTCGCAGTCGTCATGAACCGTGAGGACTCACAATCTTCACTATGTTCACCAGCCGCTCTCTAACTGTGTCAGTCGCCAGTCTTCTGCTCAGCAGATAGTGGACGGTGACCTTTTACTGACTTGTCTGCTGAGGCCCAAAACGACGCTATGAGAGCGGTGAGAGTGAACCAGAACTGTGAAGTTGTGGTCCGGACAGATAAACAATGAGCTGAAACTCACTATAAAGCTCCATAAAGCTGAGGGGAGCTGCAGAAACAGCTGATAATTCTCTGTAGGTGCATCACTACCACAGACTCCCTCCACATTGTCATTCCATACAGGTGTGTTAAATATTATATATTAAAGCCACTGTAAAAGACTGAAATGGGCCACTTAAGAACATATTTGTTAAATACTAAAATAAGTAAACAGCAGTGTGACGTTGGTGTGTGTTGAGGGTTAAAGAGAGAGAAAGAGGAGGAAGACAAGGACAGAATAAAAACAGGTTGCATGATAGAGACAGAGAAAGAGAGAGAGAGAGCGACTGGCGCATAAAGAGCAGGAGCGATGAAGAGATACTGTCGCATGAAAGCAAATTAAAACTGGAAAGAAGGCAGAGACGTACAAGAAAGTTAATGGGGTGAATCAAAAATCCCAGCAGCCTCTGCTGCTCTCTGCCTGTGCCTTTCACATGGTCATAATGAACACAAGCTGTATATTTGCTCTGCCACCAAACACCAGCGATGATTTAGTCCGACACATAAACATGCGAATGCTGCTGCGCTGCTCATTTTCTTTGTCTTCAGCATTCGGTCCCTGTGTTACATGAACACTGCATGCTAATTAACCCTGAAAGGCCTGTTGGGTATTCAGAAGATCAAAGGGAACGTTGGGATGGGGGATTGGGGATGGGGGATGGGGGGATGGGTGGGGGGCACACTGCCATGGAGATGTGGATGGGGTCTGCACATTCCCTGGCTTCGAAGGCCTGAAACTATTTATAAGGCATAATTTACAGCATGTTCTTTTAATGCACCGTCGACTTGTGACATTGAGAGATGTCTAAATGATTCTTCTTCTTTAATTTGTTTCATATTTAAGTGATTAGGTAAGATGCCAGTTCTGCTCGCACCTACAGTTTCTGCAGGGGAAGAGTCGGAGAAATTCAAACTGTTTGTACTGCGGTACAACAGGTTTTCATACATAAATGATACAAAAGGGACTGAAGAGTTTTTTTGTTTGTTTGTTTTTTATCTGCCGACTGGTTAAAGAAAAAAACTACTTTAATTAAGTTTTAGGAAAAGAAACCAAAGTTAAAAGTTATAATCTTTAAAATTCCAGTCCAAATAGAGTGTGATGCAGGGATGATGTATTTTTGTACGCCAACCCAGGATGTTAGCATCACCCTGGTTCCATAAACAAAATGCCAATGGGATTTTTCCACTGGCTTTAGGATTATTGCAGAAAATAAGATCCGAGACAAACAAAAGTTTATGATACATTTTGTTCAGCAAGATCATTTTCACTAATGAACACCACTTAGCCTAAATACAATCACCAGAAGTGAAAAGCTAATGTTAAGCTCTAAATAAAGTGACGTGATTTAGCTCTTACGTCTTGTACAATCTTTACTTAGTAACACTTTGTAAGAGCTCAAGTATAAACACATCGAGGCTGTAAAGGTGGACAGGTGAGCAGATCGGTTTTCATGTTTCGCATGATGACGTAAATGCTTAAAATAAAAAAAAGATGATTGGGGTATTTACTGACGTATTTCATGTCACAGAATAAAACATGAAAATATCTTGAGCTTGTAACCACAGACATCATCTACTCAAAAACCCATCGACCTCAGGACAAGGGAACCGGAGGTGCTTACTTATATCCGAGTTTTATTGATATGGTGACACCCATGGTTACCGTGGTAACAGCAGGCATGATTTAATACTATAGCAAACAATGGGTTAGAGACGTCCAGCAGCTGATTTATCTGTTCCACTGCAGCCAAACAAACCCAGGCTGTTATTATAATGAAGTGAGTGAGTTAATAATAATGAAAACCACCTCCATCTGATTTCATGCTGCACACACAGCCAGTGGAAGGTGTTCAGCCTGTCTGTGCCTCAGCACTGGATCACAGGCTGCATCATTTCCTGTCAGTCCCTGACAATGGAAAGAGGAAGCTACTGAACATGAATACCTTAAATCGCTATTGCTAAAACAATGGCAACCGTAGACATCTGTAATAACAGCGCAAACGCAAGAGCTGTCAGGAAAATACCAGTGTCGTTTTCCTGGGTACAACAAGCTGCATTTTTGCCAGTTTAAGGAGTTATATTCACGGCTAAACTATTATTGATGAATGCATTTCATAAAGACTGAGTGGTTTTATGTGAGACACAGACTCACATCAATTCAATATCTGTTGTTTATGAACCTTGCTTTTGGCCATCATTGTTTGAGAGTAGCAAAAGAATTTAGCTATGCAAAAGAAACGTATTTCTCTTAAACTGCTCAGATGAACCTGAGTCAGACTTCATGTCCGCTCACTTTGTAAATGACAAAATAAAAATGAACTTAAATAGTATTTTTCAGATGCAGGAAAAAAGAAGAAGAAATTCAGATTTATTGAAGCATCTCTGAGCACAGCGAGGCCACAGAAGAAAACTGTCCTGTTTTAAAGTGTGAAATATCAAAGTCTTTGGAGTCTCTTTTCTTTTTTAGAAGCCAAACACTCTGTGTAAGCCGCGGCCCTGCAGCTGCTGCCGTTTAAACTGCTTTGGTTATTTAGCATTTTGCTGCATAATGTTTTCCTCCAGACTCATGAAACACCATGAGAACAATCCTAAGTAACCATACATCACAGTGATATGTGCTGCGGTTTCACTAAGTTACAATCTGCCCTGCTGTCTTTGTGATTGTCTGAATGTATTTGCATCTTTTCTTCTCATTGTCATCAAGCGTATTTAACTTCATCATCACACCACCTTCATTGTTTTGATTTTTTTCTTTTTGATTACGCAAAGTTTAGATCATTTTGAAGGTTTGAACTATAACGGGCTCTGTTTGGATTGTGCACAAGTTCAGAAGTTGTAGAACAAAGTGGTTGTGAGCTGGAGGGTTCATAACTGAAATGTCCAGTTGTGTCAGACGTTCATCTACCGTGAACTCGGGTCCTGAACTGTATCAAGTGCTCCGACCATTTGTCCCAAACATTTGTTACGGGTCAAAAATGATGACAACGGAAAAGTATAGAAAGTGACAGTTCAAAGGAGAGTGTCCACACACTGTGTGTGTGTGTGTGTGTGTGTGTGTGTGTGTGTGTGTGTGTGTGTGTGTGTGTGTGTGTTCGCACTGTCCCAGCTGCGGAGTGAGATAGATAGATAATCTACAATTGAATTCAAGACAATAAGCTTTTTAATATTACACAGTTATTAGACCATTAGATTATTTGAGGATTTATACTATCATTTTTGTTTTGCTGTAGTTTTTGTCATTCATGATGGTTTGGCAACGTTTACTACGTATTTTCAACATAAACAACCCATAATTACTTCCAGGTCAAATTTGACCCTGAACACTATAGATAAAAAATTTTAAAATAGGAATTTAAAAAAAGAGAAAAATTATCAAAAATAACTTGTTTGTATTTTCTTATACGATACAATGATATGATATTGCCCATTTTGAACTAAAAGTTTAGAAAAATATTGTTGTGTTGTCTGTTTTACGTAAAGTTCAGATCATTTTGAAGGTTTGAAAATATTCACCTAGCCTTGTTTATTTGTGTATTTAAGTTCCCCAACACCACTAATAAATGATTCTTCACTGACTCGCTCCAGCAAGAAAAAACTCCGATTCTAAGTCTGATTACCTGTTTGACATAGTGACTCTCAGGCAACGCTTCTCTACAGTGATCTGCTGTGTAAAAAGCCGTCACTTCCTGTTGTAGAAAAATAAAACTTAAAGAGGTGTGACCTCTATATTCACTGGGCAGTGAAACTGACATGAACTACTGATCTGTTTCATTTAAACAAAACATACTTATTATTCAGCCTTTTCAACACTCAGTTTCTTAGCTGGAGCCAGAGAGGCACCTCCATCATATCAGCATGGGCCACATGTCCAGCCGCCATCCAGCATTTAATTAAAAAAAAGGCCAGTATCCTCCCATGTTATTGGCAGACTGATCCAGCAGTCGCCATAATCCCGTTATCGTGCTCTAAATGGATGCAAACTGCTGCTGTTTTGGGAGCACATAACTTTGGACACGCTCGTCTTTTTCTGCTGAGACAGGCTCAGGTTTCACTCCCTGAGGCTTCGCCACCAACCGGGAGAACAGCACTCAGATAAAAGAGCTTTAATGGGAGCCGGGACCGGTCGTCGCCCCCACCGGGGCTGCTCGGCCCTCTCTCTCTCTCTCTCTCTCTCTCTCTCTCTCTCGCTCCATGCTCCGCCTCACCCCCACGCACCATATAACAGCAATATTACTAAACGTTTCACTTTTACTCAGAGCGGCTTTGTGCTAACATAAAGGCAGGAGAATATACTAATGTTAGAAATCTGAGGAAAGATTTTAATGGTTTTAATTTCTGTTATTGCTCTGCACATATTGAGTATCTAAGTAATACACAGGAAAGTAACTAAGTAGGCCTGCATTTACTCATCCACTGTTCTTAAGAACAATTGTAGGGTCCATGTGCTTATAATATTTCCATTTTCGGCTACATTTTATAATTTCTTTTTCTTTTGAAAAGAAGAAAATCCCAAACCCTGGTTCACCTCAGTCACTGTCTCCTCCCCCTCTCTCTCTCTCTCAGGTCAGGAGCGGATCGGCATCGATTCCAAGTACGAGCAGGAGGGAAAGGTCCAGTTCGTGATTGATGCGGTGTACGCGATGGCTCACGCCCTCCACAACATGCAGAGAGACCTGTGCCCAGAGAACTCCGGCATCTGCCCGGAGATGGACCTGGCCGGAGGGAAGAAACTGCTCAAGTACATCCGCAGCGTCAGCTTCAATGGTGAGTAGACTGATGGTGCCGTCCTTCTGCAGGTGATAAAATGAACTGTTACGATGTGTGCTGTGCTTTGTGCTCCAAGGCCAAAATACATGAGAGAATCTCCGAGACAAAAGCAGCTTCAGGGGGAAAGAAATCGAAACCAACCCAAGTAACAATGTAACCATGAACATAAAAAGCACTCCTGGTTATGAAAGTGCATTAAATGGTTTAGACTGCCTCCTAAAATTGCCTCCATATCTTGGTTGTAAGTTTTTTTTTTATTTTCCATCATAATCTTGCTCTTCATCATGCTTTGTATAGAGCTGTTTCATAAAGGTTTTTGTCCGTCCTCTCCGTTGTGATGCAATTACATCAAAACATTAAAACACCTTAATGTAGACTGGAGTGCAGACCGTACAGGTCAGGGCTCAGGATCTATTTCGGGTCCCAGCGCAGAGTGAAGGAAAAACAAGGCCTTATATGGCCGTGTCTGTGTTTTTGAACCACATATTACTGTTTACTCTCACGGTGCTGCTACTGCATTATGTAACACTAAAAATCAGAACTGGTTTTAAGAGAAAAAGATGGAGGATTTTACAAACATCAAGTTAAGAAGATGCACAGAGAGTCCTGATGTACAAGAGTAAATTCAAAAGTGTCCCCAAGTAGAAATACATAAAACAAACTCTGCTGTGAGGGATCTATCGCCACAGGAAGTGGTGTCTCTGAAGCAGCAATAAGTCCAGTAAAAGTCAAACTCAACACGTCTGTCTTTATATGCTTTAGTCCTTCGGCCTCGTGTTTGTGTCCAAACCAGGGCCCGGAGAACTGGATGCAATACGGGGACATAATCTACCACTCTGATGTGGACTGGCTTAGGTCTGGCTGAGATCTGAGACTGACTGAAAGAGGTCACAGCCTTATTGAACAGAGCAAATCTGAGTGGTTGGCAGAGCTTGTGTATTCAGTTGATCTACCTGAACATATTGAACGAAAGCCCGCCAGGAAGAGATGGGCTCGGGTCTGCGCATGTGAAATCATTTGGTGTGAATCTTCAGCTTTTTGTGATGAAATCTCCAGGTTTCCAAACTCAAACATTTCTGAGAGAATGGACAAACAAGCACGTTCAAGATTTGGCTGCTTTTGAGCAGGATACGAACCTGTTCCCGAAGCCTGTCTCTGCTGATGTGGACGCGGGACAGGAGGGCGTGCAGTTATTGAAATATGATGATTCTCTCTCGAGTGTCCAGCAGCAGCTGCACGTTTCCAAAGACGAGGCTCCGTGCCAAAATGATGCTCAGTTTATTTGGCTCTACATCCACATGTGAGTGCTGGCAACAGCCACAGCCAGAGGCATTATGTTTTCAGGTACAAACGTCTGCTCGGACACAAGGATGAACTGATTAGAATTCCTGTTGTCAAAGGTCAAAGGTCAAGGTGACTGTGACCTCACAAAACACGTTTTTGGCCATAACTAAAGACTTCAAATGCTCTTTATGACTCTTATTAAATCCCTTCAGTGTCTTCACTACATATATATATATATATATATATATGAGTCTGGAACATGATCTGCTTCTGTAGTGACTTTGTTTGGATTATGTTTTTTATTTCCTCCCCAAAACAACTTCCTATGGACTTCATGTTTGTACTTTGTGTTTATGATTTCCTGTTTGTGTTACTTTACTTCCTGTCTTTGTCTTTGTCTCTGTGATTGAATGTTTTTCACCTGTGTCTTCCCCTCTGTCTTTGTCTGTTCGTCTGTTTTGCTTCTGTTCAGTTTCCCCCGGTGTTTCTACCGTATTTCGTTCCCATTCACGTTCCTGTTTTGCCAGTAGAACAAATTACCTTAGTTGAAGTTTTCATTGTTTTGTGTTCCTACCTGAGCATCAGTTTTTACCATCTTCCTGAAACTTTTGGACTTTTGTGTTTATTAAAACTCCTCTTTGCACCTCCTCGCTTTCGTCTGTGGCTGTAAGCATTTTGGTCCAGTTATCCTCAAAATTATAACCACGAAGGGCTAATTCTAGTTTCTCCATGTGGCCCCAGGCATGAAAGGTTTGGACACCACTGGCCTGAAGCATCAAATCAGAATGGTCAACTTTACCTTTATCTGTTAAATTAATGTATTTTATTACAGCATCTGTGGGTGCCAGTGAGTGCAGTTGCTTATTGTTTCCTCAGACAAAAAGAAAAGTATAAACTGAATTTAGGTCACAATAATGCTTGAAGCGATGGGCCTGTATGGAACTGAACTAATTCAAATCATGTGAGATGCTGTGAGCCTTATGTAGAGTGTATGATGCAGTGGACTGTAGAAAAATGAAAATACATGCACATACTGGTATCACACACAAAAGACTCATCATACATTTTCTTCACCCTGTGAAATGCACAAAACAAAGATGGCAAAATATGTCGCCTGTAGTACCTGAAAACAGCATAATTACTTTTGGGGTACATAACAACAGAGCTTAAAATATATGATAAGAGTCTCGTGGTGCACTGATCTAATTTGTAAAAGTAATAATAATTATTTGTTTTGTAAAAAAAGCATAAAACAAACAAAAGATAACAATCTAACGAGATCAAATTACCCCAAATTAAAAGCCATATTAAAGAGGTAAGTCTGATAACGAGAGCGTTTGTTGTTTTAAGATCCTGAGGGAGGATGATCCATACAAACAGAAAGCAGCCTCAGCAGATTCCTTGTGGGAACAATAAAAACTTCTTAAAAAAAAAAAAGAAAAAAGAAAAAGAGAGGCAGTGGAAGATCTGAGAGTTTTTGTTGGAACATAAAATAAAAAGTCACTGATGTAGGAAGGTGCAGGTTATTTAAGGCCCTGATCAGACAGCTGGTGTACCGTGCTGGATTTTTCTGAAGTCTACACTTTTTAAAAAAAAAAAAAGAAGAAAAGAAAAGAAAAGAAAGTAGAGCAGAGTTTTTTTTTTTTTTTAACACCGAAAATGACATAATAGCCAGAAACTTCCACCTCTTGTGATTGCCCCACTCTTCCTTCTCTGGCCTCCTTTCTTTCAAATGTTTGTCTGACGTTTTTGGCTTTCTGCTTTCCTCCTCAACAACGCTGGCTGACAGGGATGTTAACTCACAGCTAGTAAATTGCTTAACATCAAACCTTAACGTTAGAAAGTTGAGACGAATTTGTTCATATACGTCTTACAGCTTAATGAGAGAGACGTTAAAACGTTAGCTTAACACCAATCAACAACAGTACCGGTTGACTATTAGTACAGTTAAGATGAATGAAAACAACTTACCCAAAGTATCAAGATCAGCATTAGCTTCCCTCCAGGCTGTTTGTGTTAGTCACTTCAGTTAGTGAAGTCACACAGCTCCATGTGTTTCTCCTCCGTGATTGTTTGTCCAAGCAACTGCACACTTTGCCATCACCATCACAGAAGCCCCGCCTCTCAATTAATCTAGTCAATACAGGGTCACCGGAGTGGACTAACATGTTCTCTTCTCTAATGATTTCAGTCCTGTATAGAATCATGCACTTTTTACACCACAACAAGCGCATGTAAGCAGGTTTTTTTAAACAGGGGTAAAACCGTTAAAATACCGTTAATAAATCCCTTTACACTGCCAGCCGAGTTTGCCCGAGGGGACACAGACACACAACTGCAGGGAATGTCATGACATGCAGTTACAGAGCACACACACACACACACACACACACACACACACAGACAGCAGGGGAGAGAGAGTGAGCTGCTAGCTGCCGTGCAGACTGGTAAAAGGGGTCTGTCCTGTTTCATCTCCGGGTTGGTGCTTTTGTGACCTGATTCAAATGGCAATTAAAAATTCCACTTCCAGATCTATAACTTGAGTCTTAACCCATGAGGATGTTCTGCTATGCTGGAGAATCAGCTGAGACAAAGGGAACAGGTGTTAAAGGTGAGGTGATATACGGTCCTGGTCTTAAAGGGGCAATAATTAAGACTTTTATTGCCCCATAGCACAAAATGACTGCTCTCATTGAAGTCAGGGGCTGACTGTGCCAGGTGCTAAGATTTCTGGCTTTTCAAAATTTACTTTCCATCCAGTTCACTGTTTAGGAACATAAACTGCCTGAGGAATTTCATCATCCTACTCCTCTTTTCAAACGTCCAATAATGGAAGCGACTTTATGAGCGAAGCAGTTGGCCTTGGAAGACATTTCACTCTGCTGCCAAAATGCAAATGAAATGCAGTGTTATTATGTTATTATAATAGTATTCTGCAGCGTGATATTATTGTCTATACTCTGGCAGCCTTGAGGTGAGGGGGACTGAAGGGGTGAGGTGTGTGTGTGTGTCTGTGTGTGTGTGTGTCTGTGTGTGTGTGTGTGTGTGTGTGTGTGTGTGTGTGTGTGTGTATGCGTGTGCGTGTGTGTTTTAAACGGACACTCCTGGTAGTCACCATTACTGGCTGATGAAGGACACAGATTACTCATTTTCTCTTTAATGGAGTGACAACTTCACTGTTCTGGTTCACTGTCACCGCTCTCATTGGGTCGTTTTCAGCCGCAGCAGACAAACACAGTTAGAGAGCAGCATGGTTTACATATAGTGGAGCATTTAGCAGAGAACAAACTGAACCCCAAAATGTCAAAATAATGGAGAGTTATTGGGATTAGGTGTGATGTAATGACAGAATTTCAAATTAATTTAATAAGTAATTGCTTATGCTACTTGTTACTTAAACTAGAAGGTCCTATTCTGTATGAAGAGAGATTTCCATGTCTTTTTTGATTATAAAGTGGGTTTAGGTTCTATATTAATACTGTGCAAGCATCAAAACACTCAGTCCACAGAGAAACACACACAGCCTGTATTCAGAAACTGAGCCTTAAAACGAGCCATCAGGACCTCTGTAACTTTGTGATGTCACAACAAAGCAGTCACCATTCACCAAGCCCCGCCCATCTGGACCCACCTTACAGAATTTGGTTTCTCTGAGTGTTTTTACCTGAAATCTGTTATATTCTTATTTGAGCTCTCAGAAAACCATCAGCCAA